TGTGTGTGTGTGTGTGTGTGTGTGTGTGTGTGTGTGTGTGTGTGTGTGTGTGTGTGCTACTGACCACTGTGAACAGCTATAACAGGCCGGTGGTGCTGAGTAAAGGAACCCATTCTTGGTGAGTCTTCCTGGGGAGAAGGACTGTCCAGTTCTGCCTTCTTCACCGGGGGAGACAGCCCTAAATGAATCCCACAACACACACACACACACACAGACACACACACACACACACACGCACGCACACACACACAAAAGCACCCAAAATTTTCTGTCATTTGTACTTATGTTAGTTTCTCTAGAAATTGGTCTTAAAATAATATAATATATAATCATGAAGCACACGATCCTGACTCAGCAGAAACCAGTTGTGTACTAGACCACAGGTATTTGCATGGCTTATAATGGAAAGGTTTTCCAACTGTTTCCCTTTGTGCTGATGTTGCATTTTAAAACGTTTTGTGGCACCTAACCAAAAAAGTAAGACATTGTATGTAAGTGATACTCAGCTACATCAAATTAGAATCAGAATTTCCAGGTTAGGCGCCGTGATTAGAACTTTGTTAGAGTGGCGTGAGGAACCTGTCATTCTTAAATGTCAGATGTGGTCTGCCGTTCTTCTTTGGTATTTGGAAAGTATAAGGTAAAGAGTGCAGACATTGGTGCCCTTCCATGTGCATACGTGGGAAGCTGGAAATGAGAATAACAGTAAGAGCCCCTCCCAGAGCCCCCCAGAGTAGACAACAGTCACAGAATATGGACTGACTGAGTCACATAGCATAAATGTGGTGGGATGCAAAAGCTAAAGCAGATTAAAATGCACAGTTTTCAGTTTCAGTTTTCAGTTTTATTCGTCATATGCAAGTTAGCACAGGGTCAACATTGCAATGAAATGTGTTTGACGAGCAGCAGTCACTCAGCAGCATGATACAGTAGGAGAAAATATAATAAAATATAATAAAATAAATAAAATAAAATAAAGTAATAAAAAAAATAGAAAAATAGTAAGGAGCAAAATATTAGAGAGACGTGGTAAAAGAGAAAAGATGACTGAATATATATGTATCTATAAATATAAATATATGCACACTAGTGATTAAATAAGGAAATCTTGAAAAGAAATATGACGGGAGGGCAGATGGGATATTGCACAGGAATGAGCAGCAGAAAATTACAGTATTGCACTTTTTAAATATAAATAGCAATAACAATAAAGTGGAGGCATCGCTGGAGATAAATGTCCTGAATGGCAGGAAGCCTCGTGCCAGTGATGTGCTCTGCTGCCTTCACAACCCTCTGTAGTGATTTACGGCTGCTGGCAGAGCAGCTTCCGTACCAAACTGTGATGCAGCTCGTCAGCAAGCTCTCAATTGCACACCTGTAAAAATTTGAGGTGATGTTGGCGTTCATGCCAAACTTCCTCAGCCTCCTCAGGAAGTAAAGCCGCTGGCGAGCTTTCCTGATAGCAGTGTCTGTGTGAAGGGTCCAGGAGAAGTCCTCTGTGATGTTGACTCCAAGGAACTTGAAGCCTCTGACCCTTTCGACCTTGACACCGTTGATGTGGATGGGCTGGTGTTCTCTGACTGGTCGTTTCCGGTAGTCCACTATCATCTCTCTAGTTTTGCTGATGTTGAGAGTCAGGTTATTTTCCAGACACCACTCGTACAGTGCCATCACCTCCTCTCTATAGGCCGTCTCATCATTGTCTGTGATGAGGCCGATGATGGTTGTGTCATCCGCAAACTGATGTTGGAGTCCTGTTTAGCAACACAGCCGTGTCTGAACAGGGAATATAGGAGGGGGCTAAGCACACAACCCTGGGGCGTACCTGTGTTTAGGATGAGTGATGAGGAGGTGTGCTTACCAACTCTCACCACCTGGGGCCTGTTTGTGAGGAAGCTTAGAATCCATCTGCAGATCGGTGTTCCCAGCCCAAGGTCGACGAGCTTCGTGGCAAGTTTTGAGGGGATGATGGTGTTAAATGCCGAGCTGTAGTCGATGAAGAGCATCCTTGCATATGTATTCCCTTTCTCCAGGTGAGTGAGGGTGATGTGCGTTGCCAGGGCGATGGCATCCTCTGTGGCTCTGTTTGTCTGATAGGCAAACTGAAGAGGGTCCAGTGTGTCAGGGAGGAAGGAGCAGATGTGACTTTTGACCAGCTGCTCCAGGCACTTCATGATGACGGATGTCAGTGCAACAGGACGGTAGTCATTCAGACAGGAGACCACTGATTTTTTGGGAACGGGAATGATGGTGGATGCTTTGAGGGACGTGGGGACCACTGACTGCCTCAGGGAGAGGTTGAAGATGTTGGTGAACACCTCTGCCAGCTCGTCTGCACACACTCTGAGTAGCCGGCCTGGGATGCCGTCCGGTCCCGGAGCTTTGTGAGGATTGACCTTTTTAAAGGTCCATCTCACAGCTTCTGTTTTCAGAGTTAAAGTTGCAGCCTCACTGTCCTCCTGAGGGTAGAGGATCTGCTCTCTGTTGTCTGCGTCAAAACGAGCATAGAAGTTGTTAAGCTCGTCTGCAAGAGATGCAGTGGGCTGAACACTGACTGTGTTGTCCTTCTTGTAGTCAGTGATGCAGCGCGCCCTTCATTGCAATGTATAGAAGGTATCTGCTGAGCCAGCAGCTGATACAGGCTGCCTGAGCAAATCCTATTCTTATGCATAACAACTGTCCAGAATCTGTTCATGACCCTGCCTCTTGATAAAAATACTGATAAAATATATGAATTCCTTATTATTGAATTATACTACTGACTAGCTAGTATCATTTTGGTGAATAACAGGATTTTCCTACATGCTAATCTTAAATATAATAATCCAAATAAGTGCATCACAAGCTTTAGGGCCAGATTTAATAAACAGGGCAAATTAGCATCTGACCACAATACCCAAATAGGTTAGTTTTAGTTAATAGATTTAGTTGTTAGTTTTGATGAATTAGCAGTAAATTGCACAAATGTACTAACACAAATGTTAGTACATTAGTTTGCATACTTGATTTAAATATTCTCCTCACAGAAATAGATATACAACATAGTCAGTCGCATAAAAATCCCGCCTCTTGCATTCAATTATGTCACTGTGCTCTCTTCATAATTACCAACAATATTTTTTTAAATGCCAAAAACCCGTTTGTGATGGTGCAATGTATTAGTAAACCTGGCCCTAATCTGTTCAGCAGCATGACTGTAAATAGGAAAGTCGATATGGTAGTCTTACCTCCTTCCATGTCATCAGTCCAGTTCCTGGAGCTGCTGGCTGGTGAGGAAGGTGAATGGTAATACTCCCCACCTGGACTATCAGCCTCTTCCTCTATAGAGCCAGACTTATGACGTTTACTCCTGAAGACACATAGAGAGATGCTCACACATTTAGGATCCTGGTTTCACTGAGCACCATGTGAGGAGATCAAGCATGGTCCAGTCTTAAAATGCATAAGGTAAGATTACTGTGAGGCCATAAGGACCTGTGTGTGGGCTGAAGTCAACTTGCTTTTTAGCAGCATTACTGTTTCCCGTTTCATTCAGAGACCCAAATCACTTACAATCCAACCCTGGCAGCCCATTTTCATTTAACCATTTCTGGGCCTTTCTGGCCTTTGCTGCATGCCCCCCCCCCCTCTCTCTCTGCTTTCCTGTCAGTCTCAACTGTCACTATTAAATATTATTAATATTATTAAATAAAGCCAAAAAAGGGCAAGAATCAAAAAAACATTTCTGTAAACTATTGTGCACTGTTATCATGTCAGATAAATTCTGTAAAGAATAAGTGGTGTTTCTTACTTTTCCAACCATATACTGATTTTAGTCCGCACAATAACACACTGCACACTTAATGTTCCTCCTAAGTGCAATTGATTTTCCAATGAATACTTGTTGCAAACTTAAGATGCCTAGTGAATAAAAACATTCAACTGGATACAGTGGAGGAAATAATTCTTTCATCTCCTGCTGAATTTGCTAGTCTTTTTTGACAGTTTTGTTTATGACAGTTTTGTTCTGATGGAGAGCGACAGAACGTCAAACAGGAAAACACATCAACTAAAAGTTCTGAACGGATTTTCACGTCATTGTGAAACAAGTATTTGATTCTCAAGAACAACATGACTTAGTACTTAGTGGATGAGTAAACCAGCAAGAATGGTAAATTGTCTGATTCTTATATAGCACGTGTCTACTCTTCCAGAGCACTCAGAGCGCTTTATACAAAATGCTACATTCACCCAATCGTACAAGCACTTTCTTCTATGCTTTTAAGTGCTTACTAACTAACATTCACACACATTCATGCTCCGATGGATGCAAGAGCAACTTTGTCCAAGGACATTTGGCATGCCCACTGGGGTGAGTCAGGGATCGAAGCACCAACTGTCTTATCAGGAGATACCTCCTGAGCTACTTCTTACTGCTACATGCAGGAAGAAGTTTCTTGTATTTGGTTACCAGGTTTATACACATCTCAGGAGGGATTTCGGCCTACTCCTCTTCACACACTCTCTCTAAATCCTTTAGGTTTCTTGGCTGTTGCTTAGAAACTGGAAGCTTTAGCTTTCTCCACCTTAATGTGCTTCATCTCATCAACGTCCTGGCTGAGAGAAGGAGGTTCTCATCCAAGATTTTATTGTGAAATCATCTTTAGCAGAAAAACAGCCCAAACTATGATGTTTCCAACTCTGTGTTTGATTGTGCGGATGATGTCCTTTGAGTCTCATTCAACGTTTCTCTGCCTACAAACATGGCGGGCGGAGCTGATGTCAAAGAGGTCAAATCTGGTTTCATCTGACTGCAGCATTTTCTTCCAATCCTTCTTTGTAAGTGAGCAAACTTGCAAATTGTGCAGATATGTGTGTGTGATATGGCCGGGGAAATCAAAAGTTTGCCACAGACGTGTGTTTACCAGGATGAAAAGCTGACTAATTCTTCACTGTGACAAAGAAGAAATTCTGCCAGTCTTTCCTGTGGTAGTTGCTCATTTATTACTGCCTAACATTAACCCTTCAGCACAGATACAGGCTTGACTGAGCTTTATCTTATTTTTGGCACAAATGTACTATAGAAAGTTTATTTTTGTATTGGGGTCAATGACTAAAGGTGTTTCTGTACCTACAGTGAAAAAGTAAGAAAATAGTAAGAGAGCAAAGAGCAAAACACGGCCTTAAAGAAAGAGACTTTTGTTTGAATAAATTCTTAAAGCTACTTTATCCTATTAAATGTGATTTAAATGAGCAATTCAGAAAACTGTGCTCACCAATAAAACAAAGGCTGAAGTGTTAGAAAGGTTAAACAAGGACAGGGAAACTAAAGCAGCAGTGGGCTAAACAAGATGATCATTGAGGTATTTTTCTCAGGGGTATCCTGCCATACCTCACAGCACTGTTTACATGAATCTTACTGCAAACAGACATCAGAGCCTACAGTAACTGCAGTCAGGGGATGAGTCTCTGTACCATGCTCATCCTTCCCAGTGAATCCGTTTTAAAATAGACAGGATTATTGGACAAATGGATTCCCTACTTCCATCTTTTTTCCAAAGAATTAAAAAGGTAAACCTCAAAAACCTACAACTCTCACACATCACTTGTCATCACTTACACTTTTACAGTGTAAGTGTAAACCTCTACCTTGCAGAAGTGCAATTGCTCTAAATATTTATCAGCCACCTTCTATTCAAAAGTTTGTAAAGTTGAAAAGACTTATATTTCAGCAAGTCGGTCCAATCTTTTTGATAATATGTCTGAAAATTTTCAGTCGGCTTTCAGTGCCCAGCCTTACCTGCAGGCATGCATAAATGTACAGTACAGTACAGTATATGTGCAGTATATAGGCATCATCCTTTATATGTCAAAAAATCTGACTGAGCAGCTTTAGGCATAGACCCATCTTATGCTCTCAGAGTACAGGCCTCCTGGTTGTCCCTTTATTATCTTTCTATGTATTTGTTTTCGTTCTCCTATATTTTAATGTGCACTTGCATTTTGCCTTTTATGTGCTTGAACATTCACCAGAAATTGAAGTCTCCATTTACAACTCTCCATTGTGTGTGCATGTTTAGGCATCTTTGTGAGGACAGAAAATTGTACAGTCCCTTATGGGGACAAAATGCAAACCCGCGGGTTTGAAGACATTTTTGAGGCTCAAAATGTGGTTTAAGTATCAGTGTTACAATTATGTTTAGGCATTCATTTTTCATGGTTAGGGCAAGCGGCTAGGGAAAGCATTATGTCAATTAGATGTGCTCACTAAGACATGAAAACTAGTGTGTGTGTGTGTGTGTGTGTGTGTGTGTGTGTGTGTGTGTGTGTGTGTGTGTGTGTGTGTGTGTGTGTGTGTGTGTGTGTAAAAATACCCGCTGGATGAGGTGCTGGCCAGTGATCGTCTGAGACTGACTGGCTGGTTAACAGACTGGTTGAGATCATAGGCCAGATGACCCTGGAGCTCCCCCACAGAGAAACCAGGCCCTACTCCTGTTACAACGGGAGCTACATGGGAAAAAGACAGATTATGAGTTACGCACTTAAAACAGAATATCAGGTACACAAAGTGTGTGGCAAAGCCCAATACTGTGCTAATTGACTAGTCTTTAATTTCCTATCTAGATTTCATTATATCTACTCACAAAGCAGCAAGGAAAGCTTTGTTAATCATGTACATGTAATTCACTGACTTTCACAGTCAACACTTAAGATTTTGCTATGGCCTCCCCCACTTAGTTCAGATCACCAGTCATACCAGATCAGTTTACTTTTAAAGGTCACGAATAAAAACAAAACAAAACAAAAGGCTGTAAATGTTTTCTGTTTGAATATTTTACATGGTTAATAAAAGAGACAGTGTGGTTTGATTCCACATGTTTAGAAATTCAATTTAGAGGAAATGACTTGAGTTGTTCTGTGGGTCCACTTTTATCCTGAGATCAAACTATCCTGATAGGATTGATGTACTCCACCATGACGTTCTCCACCCCCAGGAGATAAAGGCTCTATAAACAGCTAAATGAGGGTGAAAATTGGATATGGATATCCTGTTGTTACCATATCTTACCAAAAAATAAGGCCAACAAATTAGAAATGCTGTGCTTTTCTACTTTACTTGAGCACTCAAAGCACTTCATACAGCATATCTCACTCACCCTTCTACATATAAGTGCTTCCTATTGAACATTCACACTCTGAGGAATGCATCAGAAAGCAACCTGGGGTTCAGCACCTTGCCCAAGGACATTTGGTATACACACTGGAGCAGTCAGGGTTCAAACCACCAACCTTCTGATTAATAAACTGCACTGCTGCCTCAATTGACATCATAAAAACAACTTGAAATTGCACTTGCATTTTGTTCTTCTATTCTCAAACTAGTCCAAGAATAATATGCCCTTCAACATTTTTCAAATTCAAATATTTAAACCAAATCTGTCAAGACAGAGCTAAAGAAGGGTTGGTGTTACAATGACAATACTAGCCTCTGTAAGAACACTGACAAAGGTAGCGTAGCTGTGTAAAGGTAAACATAATGGTAAAGCAGGCTTACTTCTCGAGACCTGAACAAGCTCAGTAACACTAAAAACTCCTGATGTTACAAAACTCTCCTGGAACTCTGGACCATCTGCAAAAATAAAACAGCAGCAGTTACACGCTAAGAAAATAGATAAACTAAGGTAGTATTTATATAATTACACTTTGGATCTTGATGTTTAATTGCCTAAATAGCTTATTTGGTCTTTGCAGTCCAAAGCAAAAATATAACTGATAGATTGGGTAGTTTTCTTAATTTATACAGGTCCATGTTTCCGCTTGTAATAAATATTAATAACAGCATTTAAAACTTGTAAATACAAGGCACAGCTCAGAATACTGCAGTCTTTGTTGTCACTTTGTGTCTATGAAGTCAACCCATGCTCTAGCAAATTAGACTGTTTATGTACAAGATGTTTATTTTATCTGATCATATTACCTGATAGAGACATATAGAGATATGTAAACAGATTAAAGAAAAATAAAGAAATATACTTTACATTACCCATGGTGGCAGTTCGACTGTCCTCCTGATCAGAACCCACACCAGTGCGACTGGGACTGCTGCTCTGCTCGGCCTCTGAAAGGAGAGAGCGAGAGTGAGACAGTGTTTGTGGATGAGGCAGAGAACAGAACAAGATTTCAGCAATTTCAACAAGCAAAGTAGGTAAGCCAATATATTCTTTCTTATAGGAAAATATAAGAACAAGCATATTTAAATATTGTTAGCTCCATCCTCAAAAAAGTTTAAAGATGCAGTAAAAACACAGAATGGATATGTATATATGTTTTTTGTTGTTTGTTTGTTTGTTCTTCACTGACATGCTCATCCAAAACCAGCAGAGGGCATATTTTAACATACTAACTGCATATTTTGTGACTGAAAACCATTTTCATGGCAGATTTTCTTGATTTGTTCAATGTGTTAAATAAGATCACTCATGTTCATTTTCTATTTAGCAACACAACAGTTTTATTCAAATACACCAGGCAAACAGGCATGTGATCACCATCCACCTTTTATAACCTGTTTATTAATGAAAGTCACCATTTCGCATTGTTATTCATACATTAAATCTTTAATTTATTCTAACTCAATTATCATAATTATTTTCTTAACATTAGAAAGTGCAGCATTTGTCATAAATTATAGTACAACTTAAAAAAGTCTCTTAAGACTTGCAGAACATATCTATTTAATGTTAAATGTTAATTTAAGGGGTTTTTTTCCCATTTGGGGACTAATGTTAAATTTCACACCAGTACAGGTTCTGACAATGATTAACGTGTGTTTGCATTTAACACAAATTATTCGACATCTGTGGCTAACAGATGAACACTGTTCTGACACTAATACCAAACTAACACATAGAAAATACAGAACGGCATTTTAAAGTGAGGAAAGTTAAACTTTCCAGGATATCCTGAAATCATAAGAACAAATTTTGATATAATAGAAATGCAGAACAGAGAATCTTGAAAGAAAGAAGGTTTTTTTTCTTCTTTACAACAAGATGCACGATGCATGCATGCACCATGTAACAATCTCATATTTTATATAATATTACCAGAGGTCTACTATATTTAAATGTATACATGAAAGTCAGCATGAACAGCAATGTTGAAGTATGTAGTATGTAGTGCATACCTCTCTCCTGCACATAGTAAGCAAGGTAGAGGTCGAGCTCCTTGACAGAGACAGAGATGTGTCGAGGCTGGACACAGAGGACTGGATTGGAGCACTGGCCTCCTTTCACCAGCCGTTCACCATCTGTGCTTTCCAGTGGGATTCCTTTAAAAAGGATAACCATCACCAGGTCTAATCTCCACACCTTGGAAAAACAAAGCAAAAAAAACCCACTTATGTCTGACTAAAAACATGAGTCTCACTTTTGCTATGTTTAGTGTGAAACTGGTCTCCTGAATGGGCCAAGCATCCATCCTTTTCCTTGACCGCTTAAGACACAGAGTTACGGACTATCAGAGACTGACAGGCAGGGTACATACAGAGCCCCATTTTATCACAGGGCGAACAGATTCAGAATTGTAACCAATTTAGATTCACTAATTAACCTTGCAAGCATGTCTTTGGATTGTGTAAGGAAGCCATAATACGCAGATAGAACCAATACAGGCACAGGCAATGAAGCAAACAGTTAGCTATAAATTTAGCATTTCCTAATTTTATTAAGCCAACTTCAGGGTTAACTAAAATTGTATTACAAGTTTCATAAAGGCTATGATTTTGATTCGCTATTCTGCTTGACTGTCTCTGATTTTAGCGTCATATATCAAATACTTTTCAAGATATAAAATGGTCCATCAACCCACTTTCAGGCCTTTTTTTGAGGCAATGTTTGAACAGGAAGATCACAAATACAATTAAAGATCAGAGCCTAAAAAATTCACTAGCTTTTCCAACCATTAAAATAATGATGATCAACAACTGGCAATCTAACTTTTTAACACATTGACTTGCTCTGACTTCATCTGTTATTAGACTCAACTGGCTTCTTTGAAAATGGAAATGAACCCACCCACCACTTTAATCCCACTAAACATCTTGTTCTGATATATGGTATAAAAACTGTACATTTAACAGTATTCCCTGAAAACCCTCTTTTGTATGATCACAATGGACAGCTGTACCCTCAAACACACAATAACATGGACTGAACCACCACTCACAACCACTAGCACTTTATATAGCCTCTGTAGGAATTATATCTCACTTATCTTAACTGCACTACTGTATAGCTCTGTGTAAATAATCATTCTGTACATTCGATAATTTTTAACCCTACAACTGTTTACAACTTGCATAGTTCCCATTTCTGTATAGCTGTATATCTCAGATTTCTGTAAAGTTATTTATTTCATATTCTGTATAGTTTTTCATATTTATATCCTGTTCATAGCCTGTTCATAGCTTGTACTCACTACAGCCTGTACATACTTATAGTTATAGAATATTCACAACATACTTCATACCGTGTACATTATAACATACCATAATAGACCCATTTCTGTAATATACTCACATATCTATATTATTGCTAATATATATTGTAATATATCTATATCACTAAAGCACTTCTGGATGGATGCAAACTGCATTTCGTTGCCCTGTACCTGTGCATGCGCAATGACAATAAAGTTGAATTCTATTCTATTCTATTCTATCACAAAGATAAATGTGTACACACGGGCGATACAATTCATTACAATATAAAAATAAACAGAAAAAGCTGTAACTAAATTTAAGGACGTACGGGGAGAGGTGGAACAGAGGGTTCAGGGGCACAGACAGTATGGTGATGGTATATTGACTTTATAAGACAGTTTCTTAACGAAAAATCAGAAATCTTTAAAAAGTAGAAAGGTTATAATATTTAACCACCAATTTTCAGCTGCTGTGAGTTGTTTGACCTCCTTTAATTAGGCAAGGCAAGTTTATTTATATAGCACAATTCAACAGCAAGGTGATTCAAAGTGCTTTACAGAGACACATAAAACAAACCTCCCTGTCTAAGTCTGGTTCTGCTGAAGGTCACTTTTGTTAGTTCATATATTTTTCTTGCTAGCCTCATGTTTGATGTAAAATCATGAAAAACATAAACCTGATACAACCTTGCATTGTCACAAAAACCTTTTTAATGAAAAAGTCATGGAAAATAGCATTCATAGGACAAGGAAAATCAGCTGTTAAGCCCACTCACAGCAGCGATTGTGCAGTTCAGGCAGAAACAAGCCGGCTACAAGTACAAACAGTAGGTAAATAAACTTACCTTCGACGGCAAAGTTGATGTCACTGCTAGTCTGAGTTAGACTGAGTTAGTTTAATTAATTAAAAACTGCTTGATATTTCACATCTTTGACAGCAATTTTAGTCTGGGGTTAGAAAAACTATCTGCATTTCTATCTTTCCAGCCAGAAGAAAATACAAACCAACTTTTTAATTTACCTTGTCAGCTTGTCGGAGACAGTCTATGCGTCTCATTTTGCCTTTCTGGTCAGGGTTTGATAAGACACAACATGCAGCTTTCTTCCCGGTGATTGATAGGACAAAGTCTTCCCTGCATTCAGGTCTAATATCCTTTCTTAGCTTAGCCAAAAGACGACTGGCCCACTTCTGTTTCACCTAGGAACAGAATAAGAAACAGAAACTCTAACTGAATAAGTCAGCTTTGTTCTAGCATATTCTTAGTGTAATTGGGGAAGATGCAATATAATATGGGTATGATATAAAACATTGATTGCTAAATATAAAAATCAGACTACTGTAATTCATTATTATCAGGGTGTCCTAAAAACTCCCCAAACTCCCCACTGTCACCAGTAAGTGCTTGCTCATAGGGGGTCGTCTGATTGTTGTGATTTTTGTTTTCTGTTTTCTTTGTGTTATTGCAGGGTCTTTACCTTACAATATAAAGCACCTTGAGGCAACTGTTGTGTGATTTGGAATTAAAATTATTAGAATTTAAAAAGTTAAAAAAAAACTTTTTAAAATAAAAAAAGTAGTGCTTATTTCAGTTATCCAAAATATACTTATACCACCTCTGCCTTCTCCCCAAGTAGTTCATCTTTGACAGCTCTCTCTTCTTCTTTAGTCATCCTCTTCTCATGTTTTTTGAAGTACTTCCTTTTCCTGGCCTGGAGGTTAAACCACGTGTAGGCAAAGGCACGAACCTGGGGTAGCAGAGCCTCAATGAACGGATGGAACTCATCCTGGATGATAGAGACACACAGTACAGACTCAGCAATCAGTAACTAAACTCAAACACAAAGAGTAGGAGATGTAGCTTTGGATACTAACAATATACTGGTAACGAAACCCTTAACAATGAATCTGCTTCTTGAATATTTTGCCTACATTGTTTAGATTTGACTTGTGCATCAGCAGCAAGACAGAACACTGACATTTTACACATCTGGATAAGACACACATACTAACAGTCTCTATGATATATAATCTAATTTTATATGAAAAAAGAAGGAATAAAGTTTTCTGAGAAATTAAGTGTATCAGATGCAGACATATAAAACGTGCTATTAAAACGTTTAGAGTTCCTCTTTCACATTAACAGAATGTAGCATTTGGGTACATTGCAACAGTCAGCCTACAGCAATATCCCAGAGCACAAGCAGCACACTTCACAGTAGAAGACTGCACTCTCCAAGTCATGTCAGTACCAGATGACCAAGCCTACAGGTCTGATTCTTCTTTAATAGCCTTACTGCTTTCTGTTCAATGTATCAGAGAGCAGTAATTATGTTTTTTTAAAGGTAAAAAAAATAGATGTTTTCAGGAACAATGTAGCTGTTCCAAATCTTGATACAGTGGAAAAACAGGGTCAAAAAAGAGCATGCATGAGACTTGTGTGAAACAGCTCCACTGTTTTGAATGTAATCAGAATAAAAATAATTAACAAAAATAAAAATGAATAAAAATAATGGGACACCGTGTGTCATTGTAACAGTGTATTTATGGCAATTTAGGAAAAAGCATAATAGCTCCACTTCAATTTAAATACTTAGAAAAACAATGTTTTCCATATCTACACATTTCAAAGCGATTCACTCTAAACGAATACAGACTTGTAGGGGTTACCATGTAACTCTTGGAAGGCACACAATGGTAAAAGTGGCCATTCATTCCAAATTTCTCTTTGATATTTGGGCTGACTGGGGCCCGATGAATGTAAAAACAAAGAATTACCAGATTTTTTTTTTTTTACCTGATTTTTGTTTCTAAGAAAAATGACAGCCACATATGAGGATATTCATTTAAAATTTCGATAGAACAGTAGCAGCATAATGTCCTCGTAAGTGGATACCAGGCCCTTGTAGAGCTAAATTGAGTATTTTGGTCTAAATAACCCAAATGTCCACATATGTGGACGCCAGGTCCTAGGAGGTTAAATAAATATTATAAATTGAGTTTCAGATCATTGAGTGAAAAAAGCATTTTTTCCCTTACAACCTAGCCAGACAAAGATTGTCTGTGTGCCACATGCAGTCAATTAAATTTTACTTATATAGCGCCAAATAACAACAACACTTGCCTCAAAGTGCTTTATATTGTAAGATAACGACCCTACAATAATACAAGAAAAAGAGAGAAAACCCCCAACAAGCTCTTTTTGGGAAAGAAAATCTCCCTTTAAACAGGAAGAAACCTTCAGCAGAAACAGCCTCAGGGATCTGACAGTGAGCAGATGAAGACAGGACAAAAACATGCAATGAAAGAGAGCCAGATATTACTAATAACTAATAATTAAATGCAGAGAGGTGTATGAACACACAGTGAGTGAAAAAAAAGGTGACTGAAGAAGAAAAACTCAATTATTCATGGAAGCCCTCAGCAGCCTACATCTATTGCAGCATAACTA